CTTATTTCTTCGGAGCTTCTGAACTCTTCAGTTTCTGTTTCATTTCCACTTCTTCCCAAAGTTTTGGTTTAGCTTTTTAGCCTTTTAGCTTCAGGATTTGACAGGCATCCTTGGATGGAAACCAGCTTACATCTTCACAGGCCTCATTTTGTTCCTTTGTGTTGTCAGACTCTTGCCTGCTTCTTCAGGGCCTGCTGCAATGCTCAGCTCTTGCCTAGGCACAGAATTGCCTAAAACCACATCGTGGGAGATCCCTCTCATGTCCCAGTTCCCTCTCAATTCCTAGGTCCTCTCTGTTATTTGACAACTCTTGGCTGCCTTTAAACATGTGATTTTCTTATTTATCTGGTGTTTTCCAGTTCTCAGTGAGCTTTGAACTTGTATATGGCTTAGTTTCCCTACAGTCTGCCTGTCAGTGGTGTATCTTAAAGTGGAGAATGGTATCTCAGATTGCTTTAATTTTGCTTTTGTATTACTAGTAAGCCACCCCCTCTTTATTTTTTTATTTGTATTCACTGTTTAATGCATGTTTCTTTTGAGTGTTACAGGCATATTTTTATCCTATTCTGTGTGACAAGTTTCACCACATTGGCTTTAAGTCCATTGTAAACTACAGATATACTTGAAAGGAATTTCTGCAAAAATTGACTCTGTGACGCCAGGGGTGTGTGTGTGTGTGTGTGTGTGTGTGTGTGTGTGTGTGTGTGTGTGTGTGTATGTATATGTATGTTTTGCTTGCTTTTTACTTTGTTACCAGCAATCTCAGGTGTCTCCTGGTTGTGGAGCACCTCACCCCTTCTGATTACCTTAATCTTCACATCGGAAATGGATCAGTTGGTTTTGGTAGCAGCAGGCATGGGCCTTCTCCATTCTGGGACTGTAGATGCTCAAAAGGAGTTCTGTCAGGGCTTGTTTTTTAGTGGAAACAGTAGTTTTCCAGAGGAAGGTATGCAAATGGATAGGGAATGATGGATGTTCCTAGTCAAATAATAGGCATGCAAGCTGTCTAGGCAGCCCTCAGATTCAGAAGTACAGCTCAGCCCCTCTTGTAGTCATGAAACCTGCAAAGCACTGAGAATGGAGTTTTCTTAGGTTCGTGAAATGGCCACACAATGACATAATGGGCCATGTAATACTCAGGTTTCATTGCAAATGTTGTATTTAAAGGGGGCATTTTGTAACAGGGCATGTATACTGTGCATTAAAATGTATCATTCTTAGGTTTGAAAGACTAGTTATATCGAGGATGACCTTGAACTTCTGATTTTCTTTTTTCCCCAGTGCTGGGATTACAGGTGTGTGTGCCCCATCCACAGTAGGCGATGTTACACCAAGTAAAATCTGCATGCTCTAAAACACCACCAAGCTCTGAAAGTTTTGGCTTGTGGTAATAGTAGACAGTCTTCCATTTCAGCGAAGGTCCTTTCATCCTTCAGGAAGCTCTCAGGTGACTGTGCTTGCGTCTTATCCCTGGGCTCCAATGCAGTGAGGACTTTTTACAACCTAATGGGAAGCTGCAGTCCAGCAAGAGAAGCTGACCCAATGAATTTAGACAGCCTGCAGAGCTGCTCCCACACTGCTCTTGATACAGTAGCCTGTCAGGAAGAATTTAAGGTTGCATGTAGGGCAAGCAGTCTTAGAAGTGAAGAGAAGCCTTCCTGAGGAGAAGGATCAGGGTTAGAAGAGCATGTAACCTAGGGTTCTCTGCATCAGTCCAGCTTTGTCCTGCTGCTTGTGCTGCACTTGCAGAGCGAATGGGTTGATGCCCCCTTGTGGTCTGTTGTCAAAATAAATAGCATAAACAAATAAGTACAGGAGAGCTCACTGCATGTTAAACCCCGCCTTACTCCTTTATAAAGGAATGTTTAAAAAACAGTTTCTGAGGAAAACAAGCTGTTGGGTTTTTGTCTTTCTTTTTTTTTTATAGTATACAATTTGTCAGGCATGATTTTGATCCGTGGTAACAGCGTGTGCGTGCTATGCCGAGGAGCACATGGAGGAGAGGCAGCAGTGACGGCAGCTGCAGCAGCCTTTTTTTCCACGGTTACACCTTCCCAGTTTGCAGTCAGGCTTGTCCAAGGCATCATGCACTTGGGTCAGATAGTTGTGATTTAAAACTGATTTCATGCGGCCACTTCTGGGACCAGCTAATCCATCCCAGAAAGCAGGCTTCTGTTTGTTACAAAGACATTAAGACCCCTGCCATTGGAGTGCTTGAGTGGACTGTCATATGAAGTCTTGTTATAAATCTTAGGTCTGTACCTAAATGTACAGATGATTATTTACCCGCTGGGTAACTAATGATAGTTTGTTTAAACAGTGGTGGGTCAGGTAAGGGTCCCTTTTTAGTGTGGCCTCACTGCTGTATTACTGTGGGAACACAAATTTATAAACGTGTAGTTACTATATTAAAGGATTTCATAGGTTAATTATTTTAGTAGTACAAGCCTGCTAAGTAACTGTTTTTATAAAAACATTACAGGGACTTTTTAGGCATAATATTTGCAAGTTTAGACACTTAATTTTTAAAGAACAAAACAAAGTTGGCATCGGTTCTTCCATAGGGACCTTCCCTTTGTGGAGGTCAGCACAGTGATGAAACACCTTTTGTTGTTTTTGCTTGTTTTTGGAGACTTGCTTATAGAGTCAGACCTCTGTCTTACTGCCATTCACTTAATATTTAAAGAAATTAGCATGAGTTCCCTGGCAGAAGAAATTAGATAATTTGGTGTTAATTTCACAGAAAAGTCAGTTTTTAAAACTCAGGTACATTCAGCTTTGAATTTGGGTTTTCACTTGTGTTTTTCCCCTCTTGGCAGTTAAATAAAAGCACCTCAAAAAATAACTTTTTGGTGGTGGTGGTGGTGGCAGCAGCAGCGGCGGCGGCGGTGGTGGTGGTGGTGTGTGAGAGAGAGATGTTTTTGGCCACAGGAAACTCATTACTCAATTCCATGTGTTTCCATATCTGCCTCCTTTGAATGCTCTCCTTTGATTTCCAGGGTCCTGCTTCTGTTGTGTATGTCTGTCCAGTGTGTCTGGTGTGTATGTCTGTCCAGTATGTGTGGTGTTCTGAATGCCGTGTGGAACCCAGAGAGACTCTGCATGTAAAGCAGCATTTTGGTAGTGAGAATGTCGCTTGTACAGTATGAAATGCCGTCTTGTTGCTGGTCTGTCTTTGAATATCTGCTTAGGGGGACTATTTTAGGAAAGAAAAGGGGAGGGGAGTGAGGAAGCGTGACTAGAACCAGGCAGAGGAGCTGTGTGGGTGATGGCAAGAACACATGCCATGCTACCAGTGGCTTGTTTTTAAACATGAAAAGCGTGTGTGCCAAATTTACATATTTACTAATTAAAAAGGCTTCCTGGAAACATTAAGTAGACTATCTTCCATAACCTTTAACACCATCACTAATGGATATAGCCTAGAAAATTCCATCGAAGGTCCTTTAAATAATGTAAATGATTATGAATATGTAACTAGTTAATATGCAGCTACGAAAGGATTATCATGTAGAGGTTAATGAACACTCTGCTCTTACGGGTTGCAGGGCTTTTCTTTCTGTGCTCTTGGCTCACTTCATGCTTGGAAACACTCCCGCTAGGACTGGAAACATCCTGACTGTTTTTGGGTCTCATCTTAATGGGGTTCTTAAATAGAAACTTCATAAAATTATTTTTGCAAAGATTTGTTTTTCCTTTTCAGTTTACGTTTAATTCTGTTTGTTTAATTCAGAAACAGTGCTGTGGACTGACGTGGCTTTAGTGGACTCTTACAGATGTGAAGTCAGTGCTCTATTATATATTGCCACTGTTGTTAAGTGTTGCTGTGTGATTGATACTCACTGCAGATCTTCATTTGGTGTAGACACTTTTTATGCTGAGTTAATGTGCAGTATGCTGAGTATCTGATCACAGCATGCGTTTTGGTTCAGGGTTGCTGCTTTACCATTTAAAATGTTCAAAAGGGGAGGACATTTCCCCCAGGAATTAAATGTTAGAATAGAGGAATTTAGTGATAATTCTTAAAAAAAGAAAAAAAAACTTTTTTGGGGTTAAAACATTTTGAACATGAGCGGAAACTAGGTCTCGCTGCTGTCCCCACGTGGCCTCTGCAGTCCACCTTTTGTGCCTTAGTTTATCTCTAAAATGGTGCTGTAGCATTCTAGACTAGTATTTAACTTTTTTCTTTGTATTGGTGGGAGCTCAGAAATAGGTGCTTAGCAGTTTGTGAAAAATAGTATTAATTTAAAAATTTCCACTTAACTGTTATTTTTCTAATTGCATTTTTTTGTGTGTGTGCTGATTGGTGTTTTAGTGTTTGAGAATCTACTGAAATTCTTAAAGGAAAGCGTAACCTTTATGTTTGATTCTGTTCTTTGAGTATTATAAACCAGCTTAAACTGGGTATCAAGTGCATACATTTTTATCTTAATTCACTGGTGGGGGGAATGAGCTGTTCAGAACACCCTTTGTCCCAAGTGTTTCTTCTTGAAAAGATAGTAGAAAAATGAATTCATTTTTAATACATCATCAGAATAAAAATCACAGGTGGAAACATTTGGAGATATGCTGACAAAATAAAATATTTTCACTACTGTCATTTTTTTCTTGCTGAAATGTGGTGTGTTACATTGATTTCCTGTTATTTATAATATTTGTGTATTTTAGAAAATATGTAACATTGAAAATGGTCTGTAGATTGTACAAAATGCTAGTTATCTTATATTGTATGTCACCTAATAGTTATGAAGCAGGTTTTGTACCAAAGGCTGAATTGGAAAGCTGTAATTTGTTCTGCAGTTATCAGTCTGTGTAAGAGGGCTATGATAAAGTGCATTGCCTAAAAACTAACATCCCCATCTCTGTTCCTCTGACGAATAAAAATGTACACTGAGGTGTTAGTAAATCTGTAAAGATACTGTGTAGTTTGCTGATGCTGATTTTTCTGTCTCTGTACCTAGCCCTGTTTTTTCATGAGTAGTTGTCTGTTTTCATGACAGGTGGTCACTAACTGCCAAGAGAAAATCCAGCATTGGTGAGTGAAAGATGCTTTTATTATATTCTGAAATATGGAGGGTGTTCCCTACTTGTATTTAAATAATGATGTGCACTGGGGTATGCGTGAGTGTAGTGCATGTGTGTGTTTGTGTGCATGTGAGTGTGTGCGAGAGAGATCGAGAGAGCAGTAATTGAATTCCAGTGATCTCCATTTTGAGTGCCTCTGATACTAATTTACATTGTCTTTAACCCTTCTCGGAGTTACACATTTGCCAATCTTCTAAAGTTTTGTCACCATCTGTGTTGATTATAATCCCTCCTTTTCACTTAAAAAATTGAATAATATTAATCTCATTTTGAAATAGAAACTGAGACTTCTTTTCTGAACTTAACTTTGTTTTGGGGATATTTCTTAATGCTTGTAGTAGAAAATAATTGGAATTCGTTGTTTAAAAATATATTGGAAATAGGGCACAGATTTCCCAAGTTTGAAAAAGCTAATTAATCTGCATTTTAGAGCCTGTTTTATGGCCTGTACATTTTTTTAGAGAGAAAGAAAGCATGTCTATTTTGATGTGCTAATCTATAGTTAATAGGACAATGCCTGGTAAATAATGTGCTTTCTCTTCTATTGCTTCTGAGGAAAACGCTCAATTTAGTGGTGAATAAAATCTTATATTAGGAGTCGTCATGAGGTATGGCTGTTGATCTTACAGATATCAAATTACAGTCTATCCATGCTGTGTTTACGAAGATTTGACTGAGAGAACAACAGGAGCTGTCTTGATTATTGTCTGCAGGGTTATTGCAAAATCATCGTAACTGCCCCTTTAGTGGTGAGATTAAACCTTCGGTTATACACCATCAAGCATATAATATTTTAAATTTATTTTAAAAGGCTTTTTCTTCATGCCTGAGAGATCTCCAAGGAAATAATTTATAGTTAGTGTATGTCATGTTTTTGGTTTAAATGCACATAGGCTGCAAGCAGTGGATAAGTGAAGATCAGTGCAATCTGTACCCATCATCTTATTCAGTTTGGACTATTGGCTTGCGGAAACCAATCTAAAACTAATAATACCCACTTTATAAATAAAAATCCAGGACTTCATTAATTTTCAATAAATGCAGCGTTGTAATTGCATCCACTGGTGGTGTAGGTCTGTCAGCATTTCCATAATGGAGCGTTCACTTTGACTGTGCCTTCGTTCCAGCTGAAAATGGGAAGTGTGTGCAAGCCCTTGGCCAGAGAAGGCTTTTCTTTTGTAGATTTGGCCAAAGTGACTTATTTGTAAGTAACCATTAGAGGTAGTTTCATTCCTTGGACCTGTGTGTCTTGTTTTTGGTAAGGGGTTCAGAAATAAGAGGATGTATTCTTTCAGAACGGACTCCAGCATACACGAACCTAGAATTAACATCTTGCTTCTAGACGGCTTGGTAAAATTGTTCCTCTGGTGGAGAATTCTTGAGGACAGCAGACATGTTTTTATCCTGTTGTCCACGCAGTCTTTGCTTCTGTGATTGGCACAGAATCATCCCTTAGTGAATGTGAAGGAGTGAAAGTGAAATCTAGTTTTCTCTACACTGTTTTATTTACAAACAGTACGACAGTGCACAAGCCTGGAGAGTAGTGACACTTGGGTCAGAGCAGGCTCATAGACTCTCGGTCTCTCTTCAGGGTCTTAGCTAAAGGCCTCTAAACTACAGAAGACTGGCACATTTGCCTACACAGTACTTTAAAGTTTATTGTACCTTGTCTGTATGCTAAAGATTACAATTCTTTTTCTCTCGTTAATTTTTTTTTTCTGCTCTGAATCACTTCTGACAGGATTTAGGAAACAGTATTTTATTTGCCTATAAATAATATCACGATGTTGCTAGAATCTGGCTGACCAGTGGATTTTGAACTCATTTAATATGTTCAGAAATTGAAACAAAAATGTCTACTTTCTTACCAGAGTCAGGCCGTAGGGATCCAGAGGTTGTGGCAGTATTGTGGCTATATTGTGCTGTCATTACATGTCATATATTCAGGCAGAGAAGACCTTCCTGCCTTGGGCAAGGCTGAGCAGATGTTCCCAGCCTAAAGACCCAGTCACAGAGGCTTCTAGTAGGACACTGAACAGAGAAATCCAAGCAATTTTTTTTTTTGCAGTTTGCTGCCATATGGAACAAATAGAGGAAGTTCAGAGACGGAGCCATTCTTAAACATGCCTTAGATACAATTTTTAAAAACATTGTTTTTAATTTTTGACACTTGTTATTAGCCAGTCTAAAGTGCAGTTAAGGTAGCTATGCCCTTATCTACATGGATATCTGCTAATGTAAGAAGCAGAGCAAAATAAATGACTTTAAAGATGGAACTCTTTTGCTAGTAGCGTTCATGTGTAATTTAAATGGATTCTTTTATTTAGAGACAAAAAAATACAATTTAAGCTTTGAAATTCTCTCTCTCTCTCTCTCTCTCTCTCTCTCTCTCTCTCTCTCTCTCTCTCTCTCTCTCTCTCTCTCTCTCTCTCCCCTCTCCCCCTCTCCCCCTCTCTCCCTCTCTCCCTGTCTCCCTCTCTCCCTCTCCCCCCTCTCTCTCCCCCTTCTCCCCCGCCCCCCCAGGGTTTCTTTGTGTAGTTTTGGAGCCTGTCCTGGAACTTGCTCTGTAGACTAGGCTGGCCTCAAACTCACAGAGATCTGCCTGCTTCAGCCTCCCTAGTGCTGGTATTAAAGGTGTGCACCACCATCACCCCGCTAATAGTGGTTTTCAGTTTGACCAAGACCTAACTAACTAATTAATACAATTTTTTAGCCATGTGGTGATGGTGCATTCCTTTAATCCAGCACTTGGAAGGCAGAGGCAGGTGGAGCTCCTTGAGTTCGAGACCAGCCTGATCTACAGTACTAGTTCTAGGACAGTCAGAGTGACACAGGGAAACCCTGTCTCAGAAAACTGAAATCGAGCAAACTAACAAGCTTTTTTTTGTCTATCATTTGTACCTCACACAGGAAAATGTGATGCTACAGGCTTATTTTCTCATTGAATATGAATGTGTGGTCTACTTGCAGCTGATTATCGTGGGGGAGATTATTTGCATCTCTCTATTTTTCTTTTATCCTTGTACAGCATTTGGAATCACAGGCCTGCATCTGAGTTCTATCATTTGCATCCTGGAGCAGTTCCACTAAGAACCCTCAGTTTTCTTTCAGGCAGATGTGCTGCCACCTGACTTGCAGGGCCTTGGTGTGTATTCAGCTGTCACTCAAGAACTAGAGAATAAATGGTATATCTTTGGAAAGGTGGAGATGTCATATAAATAAGGAAAAAGAATAAAGATCTCACTGTTTTGTACATATTTGTGAATGTTTTGTATTCATGCCCCCTTATTTATTTGTCTGGGTCTTATCTTCCACTATGTCCCAGGCTGGCCTGGAAGTTGGGGCAGTCCTCCTCCCTTAGCTTCCCAGAGTACTGGAATTCTAGACAGGTGCTACCATACCCAGTCACACTGTGTCTTTTTGTTTTTAACCAACTTTTTTTTTTGTTTTTGTTTGTTTTTCGAGACAGGGTTTCTCTGTATTGTTTTGGAGACTGTCCTGGAACCCACAGAGATCCGCCTGCCTCACACTGTATCTTTTTATCAGGCAGAAAGTTGGCTTCCTCAGCATATTCTTAGAGTTGTGTGTGCCTATCTTAAATACGTTTTGTGATGAAGCCTTTTAAACTAGAGGCAGTAGAGCAGGGCAGTCAGCCTGTAGGTGCCCAGGATTCCACTGCCCAAGTTGAAGGGCATCCTGGGCTAAGTAGGCCCTGTTAGCCTAGCCTGCTATGTCTTTGTGCCATTTGTCCTAGCATCCTTTCCTTTTTAAATGACATTGTGGAAGCTGCAAGGCCACATTGTGATGTTCAGAGGAACGTCTAGAGCCAGCCAGACTCAGAAGGTGAAGAAATGACTGCTATCTGTTGCTAGAACAAAACCTTTGTGGCCATTTTTAGTATAAGGCAGATGATTCCTATTGGCCAGATCCTACAAGAGAGACTCATTACTTTGTGTTCCCTATGGGATTGAATAAAGTAGTGCCTGTGGACAGGGCAAAGCTAAATCATTGGCATGGAGGTCTTGTTTATATCCATCAATTGTATGCAAGGGAGGTGTAGAAATAGCTTGCGTGGGGGTTGGAGAGAGATTTCTCAGTGGTTAGGGCACATACTGCTCTTGCAGAGGACCCGGTTCGTTTTCTACCTCTTACACCAGGAAGCTGTAACACCTATAACTCTAGTTCCCGGGTATCCAGTGCCCTTGGCCTTCTCAGGCACTTGCACTACATGCACACCTGCCATACATATAATTAAAAAGAAAAGACCTTATTTCCTTTAAGGCTTGTAAGAGGATTTTAGGTAGAGATGATATCTAGTATTAAATTTTACAACGCTAACTTAAATGAAAAATACAGTATTTTATTTGTGCATGTGTTTAATATTGCCAAGAGTTGCTTAAAGTTTGATGAACTTGAAAACACTTGAGCATGTGAGTTTTAAGAGAGAAACTGTAAAACAAATGCTTGATATTTGTTACTTTCTAAAAGAAAACTGGATAAAAATCACTATTTGGGGAAACTAGTTCCTGTTCAAGTTTATGGTCATAGAATTTAGTGGGAAATAGAAACATCCACGAATAGGTAAAATCATAAGCCTTTCTAAAGACTTCTTTTCCACATGATGGCTCACAACTGTCTGTAACTCCAGTTCTAGGGGATCTGATACCTTCACACCAATGCACATAAAGTTAAATAGATTTTAAATTCCCTCCTCTTTACTGTTAGGAATGGGGAAAATAGATACATGTATATGTATTTGTTTTATGTACACACACATATACACGTACAAATTTGGAAACTGTGTCTGTCTATTGTTGAGGGAAGAATCTGTCCCATAAATACTTCTTTTTTTCCCTCCAATTTTGGAGACACGGTCTTATCTGGTATCCCATGGTGGAGAGGGACTTGCTATGGAATCCAGGGTACCCCTAGAGTCCCAGTCATCCTCCT